TTTTTTTTACAAAAGCCGACAAAAGTTTATGCATACGGATTTTCTAAACCCGGTTCCGTTTTTATATATTACTACCGCCTCAACTTTGGCGAAGGCATGGGTGCGTATAAATATTTAGATTGTGATCAATATAGCGTAATATTATATTTTTTAATGTCACTTAAAGTTTTGACAGGTATTATTCTAAGTACCTGTTGTTACAAATCATCTGATTAATATCTTGTACCAAAGTAAACATCCCTTTTCGTGACCCCATCGGCGGCGGAAATCCGCGACTCCGCGACGGTACGTCAAAGAGACACTTTAAAGTGGATTTGTACTTGAATGTGGCCGTAAATTGTCTTTATATTAAACGGCACTGATAAACATACGGTTATGAATAAATAAAACGGTCCCTTTCGCAGAGAAACCCCCCAAAACTACTCCTTTTCGTCATTACAACTCCTTTTCGCTCCTTTTCGTGGTTTACCCCTACCGATAATAGAATAGGAGTACTGTACTGTCAGCACACAGGGGTTCGTTATAACACTATAAGAGAACTGTTCCTGAGGGAAAGGGTCATACTAGATTTAGGACATTATATGACTAATAAAATGACAAACATGAGGAACTTCATTGATAACATATTTAACAATAGCAACTGCTGGAAATTTGAACGTAACATTTGAAGTTTTGATTCATGAGTTGATGTTAATTGTAACGGTACAATTTCTAAAATTGGAAGAAGGTGCACAAACAATGGAATGTCAAAATCTCTGCCACATGATGGTTCTTGTAAATGCCGCCACAAACCTTGCCTGATTGCAATAAGAGAACTTTTTGAGTAGATCTCTCCTTTTTTGTTGCGTATATTGGCATAGAAATCCGCCAAAAACACCGTTCAATTCACTGAATTGAATCACCGCCAGGTCACAAACGGTTCCCCTTTCCAGTAGGAAGTCTTTAAGGACTGCGGCGGCAAATTGTGTCGCCTGCTTCATCTTTATGCATTGCTGAGTCTTTGCGAGTCCGCATTCCCAGTCCCGAATGTTGAAGCCATTTTGGCAGACGACAACAATGAAGTGAAAGCAGAATATGTACACGCTACTTTTCCCTCAGTCTCAGCGGTCCATAAGGGTATAGTGCCCGTCTCCAGGTATAGTTCCTGTCGTCAAGGGCGGATGCTAACTATACCAAATAGAACAAGGGTAATTATCCAACAGCTATCCTTGAAGTTATCATCTTATGTATTAAAACAGTATTAGGCCTAGACTAGAGGTTTACACGGCGAGACAATTTTGACAGGCGCCGCATCAATTATGTGTCAATCAGGTTGGTACTCGATGGCATTAGGGAAGAATTTTCTCATTTAAGAGTATGCACTCTGGTACTCCAACGAAAACATTGATACTACATTAGCTTTCACTAACTGATATGTCAGCTACAGTTTATAAACACATTTTGATTATATTTAAACCATACACTGCACAATGTTATCCAATTACCAGTCACAGTAAAATGTGACACCCCTACCTACATGTAGTATACAATGTAAATTCAATATTATTCCAATCTTTAAATAGTGAGGATAACAGGGTACGCCTACTAGTTAAAACAATAAGGTAGTAAAGCATAAAAGCAAAAAAGATGTTTAGTGCTGATGATTTTCAAAGTTACATTTAGCAACCCATCATTTCAGTATCGGAAGTTTAAAAGTCCATTCTGTAACCTCCGGGCTCCCATTAATTGTTTTGTTGTCAAGATAATCTTTGGGCCCAAACTGTGACACTCTCTCAATATATATTGTCAGGGACAATTAAATGCTTGGGAAAAAAATATTTGACATATATTATACTACATGTAGGTAGGGGTGTCACAACACGCCAAGAATGTATCATGATATATTGTCATAGGAAGGATGTATAAGTTGTTTTCAGAATGTTATCAAACTTAATCATATATAATATGGATAACATAGATTTAAGATTTTTGTCAAACCAACCCATTGCTTACAAACTGTGAACTATTAAATAAAAGCCTGCTTTATGCTTATTGGCATATCTGTTAGAATTTGTAGTAATTTGCAAAGTTAAAACACCAAGCAGATACATAAAAATATGCTTTTGAAAAATATTGCGATACAGCAATATTTCACCTCTGTATTGTGGTACGATACGATATACCCGTGTATTGCGATATTCCTGTTTTCCAATATATTGTGACTAGATATATGGTAACATTAGAAGAACTTTATTTACTTCAGGGAAGAAGACTTACTCTCTACCTAAATCTGGAGATAAAGCTGGTCAGGATGAGAAAGACAGCAGTGAGAAGGTAAAAAGTGTAAGATATAAAACAGTTTAGTAAGATTGAGTTGAAGACCCACTAACAGGCATCCTCGTTACTCCAGAGGTTACGCTCACTCTAGCTCTCTGCACCCCATGGAGTATATCATAGCAAAATCAAAAGAGACAAGAAGACTAGTTCTTGTCTCTTTTGATTTTGCTATGACATATTCCATGGGGTGCAGAGAGCTAAAGTGAGTGTAACCTTTCATGTACATCAAAGGAATTTCAGGGTCTCATAATGGTAAAAGTTACTGGCTTTGAAGTTGGGTGTCGCTACTATGTCATCTTCATAGGATAGGTATCAGCCTAGCGATTGGTCAGGTTTTTTCACCTTAGACGAATCAAATAGCTCTCTGCTTGCCTTCAATTATGCTATGACATATTCCAGGGGTGCAGAGAGTGAAAGTGAGCGTAACCCCTGGAGTATCAAGGGTGACCAGCTGGGGACAATTATTCTAATTGTTTTAAACCCTTTCTGCAATTATCTCAAACAAATAATGTAGCAATGTCGCTAAAATATTATAAATATGTATTATTAACATCAGCGTTTCTTTTATCTTAGATAAAGGTGCCGCCCCAACTGGAACAGGACATCATTCAGCTTATCAATGATGAACATGCACAAACTACGAGGACTAAAGAACTCAGCAAGCGTATCACCAATAAAAAGCTCATGGTATGTGTAATACAAATGTATATAACATTAGTATCAATGTCTATATCATATATATCCTGCAAGTGTTTCATGTTCAAAAAGAATGAAAATGAAACTTAAATCTATGACAAGCCGAAGTGAGAAAGTTGTGGCAGCTACAAAGCATGTTCATTTTCAAGCTGTCCCATCTTATGTTAAATTTTATATCCATATTTGACTCAAATAAGATTTATTTGCTTACAAAAATATATTTCAAATTCCATTAATATTTCTTGATGCCTTACTACTGAAAATTTAATAGATACCGGTATGTGGAATAATTATTAATTAATTCCCCTACCTTGAGGGTGTGACAGAGAAAATTCGCGAGGAGTGATCTATTTGGTTGTCTAACCAGAGGCTGATCTGCTGAGGGTTACACAACCTAATAATCACTAGAGGGTCAGAGATTTCTCTGTTACACCTTCAAGTTAGGGGATATTTATTTTTCTCCCATTATTCCAATAGTATGTTTAAAAACAATACTAGTGTTCAGCCATTTTAATCTGTTTGTTATCCTGATTTACACATGACCTCTCCTGTCAAGAGCTGATGATGACGTCACATCTACTTGTTCCCATGATGTCATAGTTATGGTTCTGGTCTGTCTTCAGCAACATCCTTTTGGATATTATAAAGCTGATTGGTACTTTCTTTCCGCATGCAATGCGGGACAGGGAAAATGGGAGATAATTCAGTCAAAGGTTGGAGAATTCTCATTGGTGATTTGTAAACTCGAATGATGTCATACTTGACAAGGCTGTATTCCATTTTGAAGTGTCTTTTTCACCATTTTCAGCTCTATTGTATTTTGCTAGGATGTCAGTTGTATATATATATTAAACCAGAGATGTACGTTTTCTGTCAAAAAGTTGATATTCCATTATACACAATAGCATGTGGGGACTTTGTGTTGGAGGAAAATTGATCTCAGAATGTCTGTAATGTTCTTCTTCTGATGAATGAATCTTTATATAGCTAGTTTACATTTCAGTGGCTTGAACCCAAACTTGATGACCAGAAGCTGTGTGGCTGATGGAGCATGCATGTCTCGCAAACATGATCTTCTCTTAAAAGGGCATAAATTAACTTTAGACATTTATAAGTTCAAATACAGTAAAAACTTTATTTTTTGGTACGGTACTTTAATTGAACAGAAATATAAATATTTATTATGTTTTAAAATGTCCAGGATATGTACACCAGTCTACAAGGAGCTGGGTTCAGCCACAACCAGATTGAACAGGCCATGAACAACACTGTTACCTATGGGGGTGATCTTATAGATTCTCTGGACTGGCTCTGTCTCAACCTGGCTAATGGTAATACATCATATAGTACAATATAATACTGCTACTTCTATCACTGAGTAGGTATAATTAAGGCTAGCTGGATATATATAATGTAGGAAGTTCATATGTTCACTGTTAGGTAAAAACTGAACGTTTTACCAGACACATGCATTAAAGTCACCTATCACCAAGCTGGTAGTATGTCCGTGAAACTGACTGGGTGCATCTTCGTTAGCTAAGGAGAAGGTGGACAGGATCATACCGGATAGCAACCATTGGCTAGCAAAGATAGTCTGGCTGAGATTTTTCAGTTTAGCAGTGATCATATGAACTGAATATTCCGCTATTTTCAGAGGATCTAATATCTGATATTTTTTCCAATTTTTCTCATAATTTCAATTTTTTTTAAATTTGCATAGAAATCTTGAGTGCAAAATAGTTACCTTTTCACTATTTCAGCAATGGTATTAAAAATGATTGATAAAACAGAAAACATCAGATGAAAAAAATAAATTTTTTTTTTAAGTATTGAAATACATGTATAACAAAATCAAATTTGAAGAGTCATCTCCCTTTACTGTGTTTATTCCCATGGAAATCAAGTTTATTTTCTGACATATATTCGATTTATTTAAGTCTTATTGCTGTTTTTTCATGATATACCCAATTTCAGACAGTGTGCTGATTGATTGCTTTCAACTTTATCTATGTATTGGAGAGTTTTAACGAATGTTTTGCCAAGATTTTATATTTGACCAGCAATGACACAAATTAAATCCTATACATATTTAATTCAACATGATTGTAGCTGTTAAAAAAAGTCTTTGTTTTGTTTTTCATTTAGACAAGCTTCCAAAAGGATTTTCTGAAACGTTGGAAAAAGAAGAAATCAAAACTCGACCAAATTTTGAAAGGAAGAAATATGAAAATATCACTACAACACCTCCACCTCCATCAGCCTCCTCAGTGGTAGAACGGAGTGTGTCTCCAGAAAATACACAGGTACACTACCTGTCTGTGATGACATGTGCTTTCCATTAAGATAATACTTATATTTATTTTATGCATCCTATATACAAACTAAACACCAAAACAACTTATAAAAGGGTTGGGTGAGACGATATAATTTGGTTGCATCTTGTACAGGGAAGTAGTGTGACGAAGATATTCAATGTTACAATTATTTTATGTCTAAATTGCAAGTGAAATGAGGATTTATTTTCAGTTATATATTTATAACGTACTTCATTTGTCTAAATTATTACAGTTTTAAGCATAATTTAAGCTGATAATTGAAGAATTAAATGAAAATTATCAGAATTTTTTTGTTAGATATTTATTTAAGAATTTTTTTATTGGTAGCTATGTACAAGGATATTTTGTACCAGCAAACTGATCATCAATGTTCATGTTATGAATGTAAGTGAGAAAGAAATCAAGATATGGGTGACAAAAGTTTGTGTACATCAAAACTTCCTAATTAGGGTCCTGCATTGGAGACGCGAGTACCCTTTATAGTTAGTGCCTGTGTGTCTGTCAATCACACTTTCGTTTCTAGAGATTATCTTAAAATCCAAAAGACTAATTAGAGCAATAGTGGGTTTCTTAAGTTTCTAAGGTCAAGGTTAATAAAAAGAACGTAAATCCAAAAGACTAAGAGCAATAGGGGTTTCTAAAGGTTTTAAGGTCAAGGTTACTAAAAAGAATGTGGGGAGGATATGGCAAATAGTGGCCGGGGGCCTTGCTGACCTGTCAGTGTTTTAAGTCTATATACCTAGTTATATAGGTAACTATAGATAAGTACAGAGGTGAAATCATCTGGTATTTAAACAATCTTTTTGATATTCTGATATTTATGAGATTCTTTGACTCTTTCGACAATTCTATACCTTTGAGTTTTTGTTTACCAGACAAGGACAAAGGAGGAGCACATGAAGAGCTGGATCCTACAGTACACAGAACAGTCATCTGACGAGGAGGACAACGAAGAGGATATAGAAGATATACACAACATAGATCCGGTGAGAATCTGAGTTTGAGCTTGTGAATATTTTTATGAAGGTAGCAACTAGATTTCACTGGCTACTGGAACTGTGTTTGCTTTGAAGTAATACACAAGTAATAAACATTTAAATTTCATCAGAACAAACTAAACACATCTCTTGGGTTGATACTTAAACATCTACAGTCGAACTTGGCCTCAGTAATTCCAAAAAGTGGTTTCTTAAAGCATGGGGTTACTTATTCTTCCACTGTTCACATGTGTATCTCTTGATTTAGCCAAGAAAGATCTGCTTGTCATCCGCTAGGGGGAGATAGCCTCATGCTGAATAGCATAGGCTGAATAATGACATTATAAAAAGTGGAAATTAATATTCATGTCATATATGTTATTTTTTACAAACATATCATATTTCTGTACATGGAGGTGTGACTATAATAATATGATAGGTGATTATTTGTTTTGTCTAACCTTTGGCAGAGGGGAAGATAGGGGAAGAATCCATTAATTCAGGTTTGTTTCACTAACCCTTGGCAAAGGAGAAGATGGGGGAAGATTCTATTAATCCAGGTTCGGTTCACAATGAAATCTCTACAAGAACATTGAGAGTGGCCTATAAACATAGGTGGTCGATTGTATTTATAGAGATAATGCTTTTGTTTAGCTAGGATGGTTAGTTTTTCTGTTTTTATACATAGAAATGAATACAATTTAAGATGGAGGTACCTGTTTATAATTTATGTAGAAGTTCTGTTTCAAGCAGTGTTTGCTTATGATGTTTATCTATTTCATTTAATTTCAAAATTGTACTAGATATGGATTTTACCAAATGTATCCTTAATTTTGACAATTAAGTTAAACCAAATTAGATTATTGAAAAAAAACCACAGCGATACTTTCACAAGAAATAAACCTATGAAATCTTGGTACTAGTTCTTTCCTGGAGGGGGACTATGTCACACTGGTAAAATACTAGCCACTTCTAACCTGGAGGGCGACTATGTCACACTGGTAAAATATTAGCCACTTCTTACCTGGAGGGGGGACCATGTCACACTGGAAAAATACTAGCCACTTCTTACTTGGAGGGGGACTATGTCACACTGTTAAAATACTAGCCACTTCTAACCTGGGGGGGGACTATGTCACACTGGTAAATTCCTAGCCACTTCTAACCTGGAGGGGGACTATGTCACACTGGTAAAATACTAGCCACTTCTTACTGACTTAGCCAGTGGAAAATTTCTTTTTAACTTATAGGGTAGAGCGTCAGATTAGTTAACCAGAGGTCCTGGGTTTGATACCTAGTGGAAGTATTGAAAAAATAAGGAGCTCTGCATATGTTACTATCACAAATATAGCATTATCACTGAAGTCATGACCAGGGTATAATGGAAAACCAAATGGGGCTGCTATACAGTAGATGATATTTTCTAGAATTTGTTCCTTGAATAACAGTTATATATATTAGATCCTAGAACCACTGTGACAATAAGATTTTACATAACACTAGGTGGCTGGGAGGTGCAGTGGATAATACACTGGCCTTTCACCAATTGCAAGGCGGCTGGTGTTCGATTTCCTGATTGGACGTAAACATTTTTGGGGTTACCTGCTCGACCACGTGTGATTTCTCTGGGTACTCAGGTTTCCTTCCACATTAAAACCTCCGGTGTGCTAACACGCAGGCCAACAAAACTGATAAATATAAGTAGCAATAACTTGTTTCAGAATTGTTGTAAAATAAATAAAGTTTATATATATATATTGACAGAACACTAGTTGTTTAAGGTTCTTTTGTTCCCCTTGTCATATTTTTCTCTTCTGCAGTTATTTTTCCAAAAACGTAATTACCAGCTCCCATCTCCCATTAAACCAAAACAACTCAACTTACTGTATATATATATTTTAGAATGAGCGGTATTTGGAGCTGACTGCAAAGTTGTTGGATGCTAAAGAAGAGGCTGCCCAGGTGAAAAAGGAAGGGGACAAAGTCAGACAGAAGGAGCTCGGACAGAAAATCAGGAAATTGATCACAGGTAATTCCTTCAGTATGCCCAGTAATAGGTGTCTCTGGTCTGAACACTTGGAAATAATTATGTATTTCTCTGCAGTCTGAATTTATATACCTATTGATAATATAAGTATCTCTCACTGGTCAAGTGAAATACATGTATATACTATTTTCTATAATTTGTTCCAAGGATGACAGTTTTATATACAGATTCCAAGAACCTCTGTGTGATAGCAAGGTTTAACATAACACTGGTTGTTTTTATCGGTGCTATTGTTTTGTTCCCTGTGTCATATTTTTTTCCCTTCATAAACAAGTGTGATGTTCCTCTCTAATATCATCATGGTAGGGGAATATTCTACTGTAGGGAATGATAAGTCATTCCGATAATATGTTTGAAACCATAGTTTTCAGGATTTGTAATATGTTTTTTGTCTGATTTACATATGACCTCTCACCATGCATACTAAAGGGATTGACAGAGAATTCATACGCTAGAGGTGACAGAAAATTCATACCCTAGAGTGACAAAGAAATCATACCCTAGGCTAAGGGTGACAAAGAAATCATATCATAGGGGGTGAAAGAGATATCATATTGGATAGTGACAGAGAAATCATATCTTAGGGAGTGACAAAGAAATCATATCGTAGGGGGTGACAGAGAAATCATACCCTAAGGGGGTGACAGAGAAATCATACGCTAGGGTTGACAGAAAAATCATACCCTAGGGGTGACAGAGAAATCATACCCTAAGGGGGTGACAGAGAAATCATATCGTGGTGGTGACAGAAATCATACCCTAGGGGTGACAGAAAAATCATACCCTAGGGGTGACAGAGAAATCATACCCTAAGGGGGTGACAGAGAAATCATACCCTAGGGGTGACAGAGAAATCATACCCTAAGGGAGTGACAAAGAAATCATATCGTAGGGAGTGACAAAGAAATCATATCATAGGGGGTGACAGAGAAATCATATCTTAGGGAGTGACAGAGAAATCATATCATAGGGGGTGACAGAGAAATCATACCCTAGGGGTGACAGAAAAATCATACCCTAGGGGTGACAGAGAAATCATACCCTAGGGGTGACAGAGAAATCATACCCTAGGGGTGACAGAAAATTCATATCCTAGGGGTGACAGAGAAATCATACCCTAGGAGTGACAGAGAAATCATACCCTACAGGGTGACAGAAAAATCATAACCTAAGGGTGACAGAGAAAACATACTTTAGGGGTTTTACAGAGAAATCATACCCAAGAGAGTGACAGAGAATTCATACTATATGGAGTGACAAAGAAATCATATCGTAGAGGATGACAAAAAAATCCGATCTTAGCCGGCAGTGACAGAAGAAATCATATCGTAGGGGTTGACAGAGAAATTATAATATGGTGTGAAAAACTGACATCTACATCTGTCTTCTTTGGTCCTTCAGACATAAATGTTTTGGAAAGTGACCCAAGGTTTGACCCGGCTGTGAAAATCAAAGGTCTGGACCAGGAAAAATCTGGTGTTGGCACATCTACTGCTGGTGTAGGGGAAGCAAGGACACCAGACAAGTCAGCCGGTGGGGGTCAAGGTCAGAGTGGTCAACAGCAAGAGGCTAGTGGTGGTCACAGTAAAGGTCAAAGGGAGGTCAAGGCAGCTGCTGAGGTTGAGGATGAATGTACAGGATTTGCCTTATTTGAAGAAATGGCTGCCAAAGAAGAACCAAAGAAAATTCCCTCAGGTAATTTGACTTTGAAATTAACATCTCTGTCAACACTATCGTCAATTTTACTGTACATTTCAGTTAGTTGTAACCCTATACTGTCGAGAATATTAACAGTACACTTTAGTCCGTTTTAACTGTATGCTATATAATCAGTCCTGTGTTTTTGCTGTCATTGGTTCTACACTTATATCAGTGCCAGCTCTATACAATATATGACTCAGTATGAGTTGTTAATACAGCCCAACTTCCATATTGGAGATTATGTGATAGGAGTTTAATTTTTGCACTTTATTCGAAACATTGTTTAGTAATATGCTTACAGGTTTACTTTCATGAACATTTTTTTTTTTTTTAAAGAATCTGGGAAAGTTTTCCTTTGTAGAAGCTCTTTGGTGTTTCTCTGCTCTATCATTTCCTAATGATTAACCTTGTATGATGCCGCTTGACTGTATACAATAAAATTATGGATTTAAATATTTCCATTCATTCTCTGCCATTGTACACATTTTTCGGAAATATTAATAATAATTATTCCAGGTATTTATATACTGCTTTATCACAACCTAGGTCGTAGGTTGTCTGAAAGCAGTTCACAAATTACTATCCATGGTTATTGGGCCTTTACAACCAGCCAATATCTTTCTCAACTCACTGTGGATCATACAGCCAGTGCTGCCATTTCGGCGCTCACAGCTACGTGTAGCATTCAACAATTCCAGTACTGCCCAACCATGTACTCATTTACAGCTGTGTAGACTGGAACAAGCGGAGTAAAGTATTGTTCAAAGATACAACACACTGCCATGGCGTGACTCGAATTGAAATGAGATTGATTAACCACCAATAACGGCTTTCAAGCTTTGTTCAAAGTTTTACTACTATTTGCAGTTTCAGACAAGACAAGATGTGGGGTCCTGCATTGTGGTTGGTTAAGGCTGAAATACTGCTGAAGGGATTTCATTGATACTTAATGGGAATGTTACTGACATCTCCCTGACCAAGTGTTTTTTTTTATTTTCCGGGTCAATTAGAAATCCAATATGGCTGCCACAGCTGCCATTTTGAAAAATATTTTAAACGTAAAGTTCTTCTAGGACGATTAAACTGAAACTTGGTAGGAATGATGGACTCATGGTCCTTGAAAAGTGTTCTTTCAGGTGATAAAAAATCCAATATGGCCCGCACAGCCGCCATTTTGGGAAAAAAACACTATTTCAAACTTAAAATCAAGTTCTGATAGGCCAATTTAACTGAAACTCGGTCTAGGAATGATCAACTCATGGTCCTGACAAACTTAACTTAACATTATACTTAAATATTTTTTACTCAAATTGGTATTTCAACAACTAAAATAAATACTAAATGACTCCGGTGACTGTTAAGGCCCGTGGGCCTCTTGTTCTTTTGAACAACTTCTGAAGAAGAACTAGATGACCTATGGTCACAACATTTGACCAGTAGGTAGATGAGCAAGAGTGCTATAATGTGTCCTCTTTAAAATGACCTTGACTTACTTTCAAGGTCACAGGGGTCAAATATGTTACAAAATTCAAACAACAATATTTATATGGACAATAAGGACTAGAGTCATGGTACTTTGGTATGTTATGGAGACCAGCAGTGCATATCGTTTTCTTTATTACAGTAATGAGTTCAAAGGTCAACTGTAAGTGCTAGTCAGGGGTCAAAGGTAAACATTTGTTAAAAGCTTGAACAATCTTCTTCTCAAGTTCCATAAGGCCCAGGGTCATGTATTTGGCTAGTAGGTACCTGGGATGGAGTGCTATACATTTTTTCATTAAAATGACCTTGACCTTGTTTCAAGGTCACAGGGGTAAAATATGTTAAAGAATTCAAACAACAATATCCTAAGAACCATCTTGACTAGTCATGGTACTTGGGTATGTTATGTAAACCAGCAGTGCAAATCTTTTTCTTAATTAGGGTCCCGTATCGGAGATACGGGTGCCCTATAGTAATCACTCTGTCTGTCTGTCCGTCTGTCTGTCTGTCCGTCCACAAATTTTGATCCTGGCTGATAACTTTGGCATTTATTGACCGGTGTACATGAAACTTGGTCAAGATGTTTAGCTCACAAAAATACACATTGAGGTAAAAAGTCAAGATCAAAGGTCAAGGTCATTAGGTTCAAAGGTCAAGGTCAAATTTTGCATCTTTTCACTGATGAACATTTTGTTATGAAATGATGAAGCAAAGTTGATCAGAATTAAACAAGGAGTCAACCTGACCAAATGTCAAGGTCATTGGGTCAAAGGTCAAGGTTAAATTTTGTATATTTTCACTGGTGAACATTTTGGTATGACACTTTGAAGCAATGTTGCTCAGAATTAAACAAGGAGTCAATTGACCAAAGGGCAAGGTCACTGGGTCAAAGGTCAAGGTCAAATTTTATATCTTTTCACTGATGAACATTTTGTTATGACATTATGAAGCAAAGTTGGTCCGAATTTAAAAAAGAGTCAACTGACGTAACGTCAAGGTCACGTGGTCAATGTCAAGGTCAATTATTGTATCTTTTTTTTGATGAACTTTTTTTATGTTATTATGTAGCAAACTTGTTCAGAACTTAACACAGAGTCAACTGACCTTAGGTCCAGGTTACGGGGGCCAAAGGGTCAAGGTCAAGTTTTGTATTTTTCACTGATGAACATTTTGTTATGATATTATGAAGCAAAGTTGGTGGGAATTAAAGAATAAGTCAACTGACCAAAGATCAGGGTCACTGGGTTAATTGTCAATGTCATTTGGGTCAAAAGGTCAAAGACAAAGTGGATCTCTGACTTTGACCCTGGCTCTTGATGGAGGAGGTATATCAGGTGAAATAAAACAAATCAAAGGTAACAAATGAGTATTGCACCGGTATTTACATTTCTGTTAGCCCAGCAAATATGGAGGTGGAAGGAAACAAAACTCACATCACAGTACATGTAAAATGTATATTTTGCTTCCTTGCGATTCTTTTTGAAGTCCAAATGTCAAACGTCAAGCTCAGCTATATGGGCTGATTACTTTTTGATAATTATGGGGGATATATTGCCACAAGACAGGGCCCTTACTGACCTGTCAGTGTTCTAGTTGCAGTAATGAGTTCAAAGGTCAACTTTAAGTGCTAGTCAGGGGTCAAAGGTCAACATTAGTTTTAAAGCTTTAAAATTCTTCTTCACAAGTTCCATAAGGCCAGGGTCATCTTCGGCCAGTAGGTACCTTGGATGGAAGGTCCTCATTAAAATGACCTTGACCTACATTCAAGGTCACAGGGGTTAAATATGTTAAAAACTTCAAACAACAATATCCTAACAACCAAAAGACCTTGACATGTTTTTCGAGGTTACATGGGCCAAATATGTTAAAAACTTCAAACAACAATATCCTAACAACCAAATGACCTTGACATGTTTTTCGAGGTCACATGGGCCAAATATGTTAAAAACTTCAAACAACAATATCCTAACAACCAAATGTCCTTGACATGTTTTTCTAGGTCTCATGGGTCAAATATGTTAAAAACTTCAAACAGCAATATCCTAACAACCATTTGGACTAGAGTCATGATACTTGGGTATGTTATGTATACCAGCTGTTTGAACCGTTTTCTTTATTACAGTAATGAGGTCAAAGGTCAACTTTAAGTGCTAGCCCGAGTCAAAGGTCAACTTGGGTTAAAAGCTTTAAAATTAAAATTTCAAATTTCAACCAACAATATCTTAAGAAATGTTTAAGAGATGTTAAAATGTCTTGTGTTCTAGTTACTAAATTTGGTCTGAAGTTACCTCTATGTCAGTTTCATGTAACAAAAGAAACATTTGAGTGATACAGGCCCTCTGGAATGCTGCAGTGATAATTTTACCTTCATTACGGAGGGTGAAAGAGGAGAAAATTAAACCGCAACAAATATTTCCTGGTAAACAGTATTCCAGAGGTGCAGTTGCATAGGTGAGCATAATCTCTGGAGTATTGAGGATAACTGACTGATATCTGTATCACAATCTCTGGAGTATTGAGGATAACTGACTGATATCTGTATCACAATCTCTGGAGTATTGAGGATAACTGGACTGATATCTGTATCACAATCTCTGATGTATTCAGGATAACTGGACTGATATCTGAATCACAATCTCTGGAGTATTCAGGATAACTGGACTGATATCTGTATCACAATCTCTGGAGTATTGAGGATAACTGACTGATATCTGTATCACAATCTCTGGTGTATTGAGGATAACTGGAATTATATCTGTATCACAATCTCTGGTGTATTGAGGAAAACTGGACTGATATCTGTATCACAATCTCTGGTGTATTGAAGATAACTGGACTGATATCTGTATCACAATCTCTGGTGTATTGAGGATAACTGGACTGATATCTGTATCACTGATTTATAAACTGTTGGACCTACCTGAAGGTCTGGTTTATACAGGTATCCGTATTACACAGATTCAGTTCACATAAAAATGCAAACAGAGGGACTTACTTTAAGGTCTGGTTTATACAGGTATCCATATTACCCAGGTTTAGTTTACATAGAAATGTATACAGTGTGACTTACTTGTAGGTCTGGTTTATACAGGAATCCATATTACACAGGTTTAGTTTATATGAATCTCTGGTTTATACAGATATCCATATTACCCAGATTTTGTTTACATAGAAATGTATACAGTGGGACCTAATTGAAGGTCTGATTTATACAGGTATCCTTATTACACAGGTTCAGTTTATATGAATGTCTTGTTTATGCAGGTATCCATATTACACAGGTTCAGTTTATATGAATCTCTGGTTTATACAGATATCCATATTACCCAGGTTTAGTTTACATATATATGTATACAGTGGGACCTAATTGAAGGTCTGGTTTATACAGGTATCCATATTACACAGGTTCAGTTTATATGAATGTCTGGTTTATACAGGTATCCATATTACCCAGGTTTAGTTTACATAGAAATGTATACAGTGTGACTTACTTGTAGGTCTGGTTTATACAG